CAACGATACACCACCATCGGTCGACGAGATTAGAAAGGCTGCCGCGAATAGAGAGAATTGGTCCAAGATTGTTGTCGCCTGCAAACCTCGATTGTTCGCAGCCGACCGATGATGATGATGATGATGAAAATCATCATTCTTTTTAAAAAATGTTTAGCAACAGAATACCATGGACCATGTCTCCATCCAGCCTTTGCCGACGCTTGTCTAAAACTTTTTACACAAATTCCTGGATCTGGAGGGTAGGGTAAAGGCGCTTCAGGTGACAAATCTACTTTTTTTGTTTCGAAGTTCAATAAAGCTCAAACCTGTCGAGTTTTGTGACTTCACCGTCTATGCTGTACACTGCGAAATCGAGAAGAAGATAGACTAATTTCTGTATGAATCGATGAGAAAACATTTTGACAAAGTACATACATGTTCATCGAGATTTCACGTGAAAACAATAAAGAGAACATATTTTCATCCATTTGGTATAATGAAATGTTTCAAATATCAAAACAATATTATATCAAGATGATGGATTTTCACAGTCTGGATGAAAAATCTTTGCTCTTCAAAAGTCGTTCTCTCTAATTTCCAGACTACCACAAGTCTCTAGGTATTAGTCTTGAAACACACTATGAGCAATGCCTTCAATTATTCAATACCATCAGGATAGAATTGTTTATTCTAGTAACCAAGAAATTCAGAGAAAAATATTAGTTAGTAAACTTAATTATATTCTGAATCATTAATTCGATGCACATTATTTATGTTATTCAAATATTCATGACAGAAAGAGTGATGAAAGACGGATTTTTTGATTTTTATCGATAATTTTTCTAATTATAGTCAATATCATCCATAATTTGTTCAAATCTCGAATAAAGTTAACACACACACAGACACACACATCGTAATTACAGAGGATCTCATTTAAATAAAGTAATTTTCATTTTTCTGCCCACAGAACAAAAGGAGAGATCAGTCAATATTTTCATATCTACAAGGTTATTCTTGCAATATGAAACCATGAACGTTCAAAAATATGAAAAAAACAAGAAATATCGACAACATTACGGAAACAAATTAAGAGACTTATGCGAAGAGTTGTATATTTCTTTTTTTGATGGACAAAATAGAAAAAAACCATACTGATTGTTGACACATTTTATTTGAATACATATTTAAATAGGCAACATTTATTTATATTAAAAACAATTTACATTCAACAACATTTCTTATTATATCAGAAAACAGAAAATCTTCAAAAATGAAGTAGCACATGCAAATTCTTCTACAGCATACCATATGAAGATCATCAATGGAGTTCTGTAAATGTTTAAAGTGTAAGCCCCATAAATGATCAAACACAATGCTAAATAATTATATGGAAAAGATCACTAAAGATTAATGACAAAGAAGGCTTCAGCAGATTACTCGAAAAATAGGACGATTTCTATTTTTCCAACAGTAACTTTTTCGTGTATACACGTATATATACACATATATGTGTATAACGTTAGCATCCGCCGTAATTGGACTCAAGCTCTTCACATATGCCTTTTCATTTGTATCACACCTCTAATATTAGCAAAATGATGCATAAATGCGTCTGAATTATGCAATAGATTTTTCATCTAAAATCCTTTTTCTTATTTCAAAGACATTTTCATTCAAAGTCTATGATATATTCAGATGTAACGACAGTTCTTAAACATTTTCTGAGATATTTTTTCCGTGTTAAAAAATTTGTCCTTGTTCCTTTCTTTGTTATTCTGTAAGCATTTAATGAACACCTTCTATTTTTTTCTCCTAAAATATTAAAAACGTGATTGTTTTTAAAATCGATAAATATTTAATTGTACGTAGGTTATAATGAATATATACTTCAACAATATAGTTTGTAAAGCGTTTGTAAAAATTGTAATTAATGCTGATGATAAATTTTCAGTAGAACGGTTTACCAACGATTTTTGAACAAACGTTGTTCGAAAAAATTATTATACGTCTAAAATAGTAAAATCTTTACTTTTTCATTTTTAGTATATATATTCGTCTATATGATGACGAATTTTGCTGATCAGTTTCAAACATCCTCATCTCCTGTTGAACGTTTGACAATTCTCGTGTTTATAGCTGCTATTGTTATTGGTAATGTTTGTGTATTTGTCACGTACTTCATTCGTACGAAAGGCACGCATTGGACACAGATCTTCATATTAGCGATGTCATTCATTGATCTCTTTATCGGCTCATTTGTTTTACCTATGCGTTTCATGTCTGCTTATTCTGGTCAATCTATGACTTCTCATCTATGCATTGCACTTGTCATTGGCGAAAACTGTGCGATGGCAGCTGTTCTCTATGCCATTGGTCTTTTGAATTGTGTGAGAATTTATGAGATATTTGGTCGAACATCATCCACTATAACTAAACGTTCATTGATCGTTATTATTATCCTTTTATCATGGATCATTTTTTTCTTATTCTATGGTATTCCTTACATGACTAATTATTCTAACTATCTTCGAACAACATCGAGTAATAATATCACTCATTATTGCGTATCGTACATGACAAGCATCTATCATCCAAAATGGATGGAAATTATTGAAGTAATTGTTATCTTCGGCATACCGATACTACTTACTCTTACAAGTATTGCCTACTTAACACGATTATTATGTAAACCACGACCAAAATTTCAGAAAACAGAAAAAATTGAAAAAAAGAAATATCAAGAATATGTTCAAATAACATGGCATGTTTATATTTTATCATTTACATTTTTAAGTCTATGGCTGCCATGGATTATTCTAAAAATAACATTGTTCTTTATCTATACATATCCAATTCAACAAGCACTACAAATCACCTATTATATTCTAATATTTAAATGTGTGTTATTTCCATTGATATATGCTGCTACAAATCCTTCATTTCGTGGAACATTTGCTATTTACAAACACAGACGTGTACTAATGAGCAATTGAGTGTAAGTGGTGAACAAACATTTTCGTACCAATAATTAATCGTACTGTGATGAATAGAATTTCGAATCAATAAATGAAAAACTAATTTAATATTACTATGGTTTAAGAACAGATGGCTCCAAGTTGACACTTTTCGCTTATCGGCTATATATCGGTTTACTCTCAGTTCATCCCATGAAGCTTTTTTCTCAGTTCGTCCCATCAACACTTCTCTCTCAATTCGTTCCATATTAGTTTACACTTAATTAGCTTTAATATAATTGTCCGTACCTCTTGCGTACGGTCATAATTATGTATATATAAAAAATAACAGTAATATTAACGAGGACTTTGGAGATATCTGGTTTGCATGTGTGTGCTGATTCGTTCCGTAAAATTTCCACATCGTCTGTACATAATGATATTGTACTTGAACATGTTCGATCTCGATACCGCCATTGATTATTTGTTTTGTCTGCTCATTTTTTGGTGTATTTATACACATTATGATTCAAAACTAATTTGTCTTTTTCAGTAGACGTGAAAATTGACATTTTGATGAACAAGACAGTTTAACTTATTTAGATTTACATTTGTGATAGTAGTGGCTAACACGGCACATTTTGCCACGTACGCGCATCTAGTATTGTCTACAACACCCACCGTTGCCGTCTAAACTGTTCGATAGTACAACACTTTATTTATTTTGAGACGCGAGCATAGACGAATCTGGGACGAATTGAGATAAACAATTCTCGGACGAAATAATCGCTTGTTTTTTTTTTCGGGTAATGTTTAAAATAAAAGAGATAAAGACATTCGTTGGTTAGCCAAGACGGGGAAAAGTGACTCTGTGGAAAAAAATGTCGACATTCTTCGCAAAGGATATAAAAATATAAGGATTCTTCGGATGATTTAAAATATTTTCTATACTAAAAAAGAAATAGCTAAGAATATAGAAATAAAAAGTTTCATTACTGTCAGAAAACATCTTTGTCGAGCATATAGTTGAAAAAATGTGTGATTGTTTGTCCATAAGTAATATACTTTGTTTGAAGCTTAGAACATAAAGTGAACAGTTACATGACTTCTCTGAGAAAATTCGAGAAATATCCCCTTTTAGCTTTGCTTTTAAAACTTTTGAAAATCAATACAATGACTTAGTCTGAATTAAAAATAAAAATATAATAGTAAGTTTTATTTTCTGATAGAATTCAGTCATGTTGTTTCAAGTCTTAGCTTTGCATGATTGTGTATTGCATGGCTTTAATTGCGAATATTCTCCTGTGCAATTGTAGCCAGCTAATGATGAATCATCACTAATTTCAGGAATAGATGGTGGTGGATCTGTGCACGTTCGACTTCGATTTTGATAACCAGTACCACATGATTTAGTGCAAGGACTCCACGGAGTCCATTCTGAGTAACCGCCATCAACTAAGATTAGAGTTAAAATTATTAAAGCGCATAACAAATTACAGAGAGAGAGAAAGATTTGTTCTAACATTCATGGCTGTACTTACCAATACATCTCGCAACAATAGCAAATAATTCACTAATATTTTTTCCAGCTTGACTTCTATCATATTTGCACTCATAAAAATCATTTTCACTACCATCACAAATTATTCCAGGATAACATGTAGAATTATATTTTATTTGATTTAGAACAGCTATACAATTTCAAGATCACAATTATCATTCTTGCGTAGTAATATTAATCTACGTACCATACTGAGCACCACGTGGTAAACCAATTGATTTACATACCTAAAATTGGGATGAAATACTCCCAGTGATCAACACATAAATAACAATTCTTACCAAATCTGCCATATGTTTTGCCATTTTTGCATCGATAGAGCCAACACATAATATATCACCTTCACGTATTGATAAATAACCTTTAAGTGGATATTTTTCTGGCTCAGTTTGTTTGATACCTGTTTTAAGAACATAAGCATAATAGTAAATGTTAAAAGGTATTTCTCATACCTGCTACTCTCTGACAATTGGCTTCACCACATGCCCGTTGTTCAGATGTGTAATTTCCACAATTGGATCCTGGTGGCACGCAAGATCTATTTCGTTGCTTGGAACCAATACCACAGAACGTTGAACAAGGAGTCCATGAAGACCATGGGCCATACACTAAAAATCGAAATGTATTTATTAATAGAAGCATATTGGTATATAAAACATGTATAAAAATCAACATACTCGGACACGTTGTGATATTACACGGTTGAATTTCAAGGTCTTTACCAATACAATTATGAGTGAGAGTTTCAACACCATCTTGAAGACATTGTCGTTTTCGTGATCGATAACCTTCACCACATGTCACGCTACAACTTTTCCATTCACTCCAGTCTGCAAACTTTCCCACGACTAGAAAACGAAGACGTTGATGGCATACGATTCTCAATTCAATAAATACTGATAATACCAATAATTTGTTACTGATGAGGGAAGGTCCCCAAGTGTTATTCTCACTTCTCAATGGGACATATCCTAGTTCGTAGAGCTCAACGAGCTGATTACGATGGCATAAAGCATTTTCCCCCATGGCTCTTGAAGACCCGGTTTTCTGGAAAACAGTTTTTCAAAAACTCTAAAAAAGTAACCAAAACCTTTCTTAACGAGGTTTAATTGTAGCGTGCACATTTCTGATTAAAATGAGACATCTCCCAGCTCTACACGACCTTTCTTTGCACAGTTATACAATTTTCAAGAAGAGCCCTAAATGTTCATTGTCAGCTCAAAGCTACAGGAATAAGAAGAAATTAATTTAAGCTTTATCCCATCGTAATGAGCTCGTCGAGTTCTACAAACTAGGATATGTCCCATTGAAAAGTAAGAGTAATACTTTGGGATCTCCCCTCGTGAGACTATAAAAGCGGTACATACCAATTTTATCGCAATCTTCAGTTGTTGATCTGCCATTTAAACACACACATGTTGCTGCTTGGTTCATATTTTTATTTTCAATGCAAACGGCACCTGGTTTACATTTCTTCGTATCGCATGTATTTCTAGGTAATTGAGCTCGCTAAAATTTTCATTATTTACAATGGATAGCATTTTAATTAATATCGTACTTACCCATTCCTTAACTTTTTCATTTACTTGTACGTTGTCATTGTCGAAAAGTGAACATACTTTAGTCTGAGATATGTAGAAATAACTTGTACAGGAATATTGTTTAACACACTCAATAGCGCATTGATATTCACTGTATAATTCAGTATCAAGAAATGATGTTGTCGTTCGAATATCAGATGATGATTTAAGATTTTGAAGGACAACATTATCGAATTGTAGGGTCTTCTCAGCTGCTACAGAATAATAACAGATAACTGAAACTATGAATAAATTCGCTTTTAGAATATCTATCGATGCTTGCTGCATTGTTGCAGTCATGAAAAGGAGAAGCAGGAACTTGTTTTATGATGTTTTTGTTAATATACATACAAATATATATATATATATTTGTATGTGTATGTCTCTTTTGGGAATATTATTCGTGTATACGTGTGTATTAATGAAAATTTTATTAATCAATACCACACTAGGGAGTGATGAATTAATTTTTTTCACACTATCTACACCGTTTTTTTGTTGTCAATAACGAACTGAAGACGTAAAAACTCAGATATATTTTTCTACCGCGTTTAATATATAGTTGAACGGTCAAGTGAAAGAACTACCACCATGAGTTGGCTATTTTTATACTGTTGTGGGTTTAACCCTTGTACTACCAAGCCTATAAATAATTTGTTTTTTGAAGTTTTCTTTCACATTAAGAGGTACGGACCTGATTCAAATAATGATATAGATAGTACGAGAGGCCGACTACAAGATGTACTATA